CTTATAAATTTTTGCTGCAAAAGAAATTTTATTAAAGCAATTTGCGAAGCCTATAAATCATCGTAATAGGACGTCAACCGAGCAACCTGATATTGACAATCGCTGGAAGGTTTATGGTCTTACGGTCGTCATTTGTCCGCGCATTCTGCAGGTTACAGCCCCATCAATGAAATATTACGATTATCATTACTCGGCCTAGGGAGACCAGCTCGCTTATGACCGAGTCATGATGCATTACGGATAATTCTTACTCTGTTTGCCTCCGATTATCGAGATCGATTCTTCGATCGGGAATAATACCGGACGCTTTGTTCGCCAATTAGCTTCACGCCCATATGCTACACGTGAATCTATATGTGTCTACGTACGAGCGAGACGCATAGAGGCGTGCAAATGACCCTCGATCATAATTATTCGAACGTGTTCGGGACACGTGCGAGAGAGTAAATCTAGAAATTATACCGAATAATCGCGAAATATTTGGCGCAGTCAACACAGATCTGTGTGGCCGTATTGTACAGATAACGGCAATATTCATTATTTAATTTTAATGGGTGCTTTTATTTCTACAATTTTAATAGACTTTGATATATAGTTTTAAAGGTATAAAAAAATTGAATAAAATTTTATACGGGACTTGTTCTTTATTGAGCATCTGTTTCTCTGTATTAGGGACGTTGAAGCTTTTACGTAGGGGAACATCCTATGTAAGAGATCGCCAGGAAATATTCCCGAAAGAGAACTTCATTTTACGTGACAGCGATATCATATCTCTTTACATTTTTCGCTCGTGGCGTTGCAGTATCCGTCAAAGAACTGCAGTTCGATCGGGGACACGTGTATTTATTTGCGATATATTTCTCCTTATCGCGTTTGCCCACAGAAAGATGACATTTCTCTTGTTTCCTTCTCTCTTTTCCCCTCTCTTCTTTCGCCTTTCTTCTAGCTCTTTCTCCCTATATCTATCTCCCTTTTCTCTTGCTCGTTCACTCCGTCCTTTTGCTTTGACCGTCGTAGCAGAAAATCCTTTAACGTAGAAGTATACCATAACCGAACTTCTTTTTTATTAAACGAATGGACTTTTTTTCATACAGACTACTCGTAGTAATTAAAGATTAATGCAGCCACGCGTCACACGAACTCCGCGTCAAGTCTCTTTTGCCGGTAAAAAAAAATCATGTTTTATTCTCGTACAAATGGAAAAGCCTTTAAATAGATTAAAAAACGGCAAAAGCGGAAATAACGCGATTTGAAGTATTACATACGTATAATTATTATATCGCGGAGCCGATGTTAATTCCTTTCTCTCTTCTTTTTGTTACGGATCGCAACGTGAATAACGTCGCGTTATTGCGAGCATAAACATATTCGCGTAAAGACGTTTCTTTTTTAGTATTAGCTTGAACTGAAATATTGAGATTCGATTACGGTCTATATCGGATAACGATATTGAGCTCTTAACATATCGCGCGATATTAATATCGACATTTGAATAACTAGGTGCCTAAGCCGCACACTACCCAATATTCCGTTTAAATAATGAAGATGTGAGTCTAATTCCTGTCCACTCAAATACTCGAAATATCGGAAGGGAAGGAAAATAAAGGAGACATTAACGATATTGGTGGAAAAGTGAAACATTACGGATCATGCTTAGACATTCGGCTGCTCATTTCTCTTTTGAAGCTCATCCGCGATGCGCCGCGCTTTATAAAGAGGCGAAAACGGATCGCGCGCGGCATTCCGTGCGCGTCGAAATTTACCTCTCGATCACGTCCGCTCTCACGGGAGCGGATTCCGATCGAAATCGTTGGGCCACGGCGAGATTTCGACGGAGTTACCCCGAGAATCGTCATAGGCGCGGAATTTACGAACAAAATGCGGTCTCGGACAATGTTACAAGACAGCATCAAAGACAGAGGATGCTGCGGGAAGGGAGAAATCCGACGCGAGGGATCGAGATAAAAAGATCAACATAATGTAACTAAGTTAATAGACAACAGCCAAGAAGCATCCCACAAGAATTGAGACACACGGCTCTCAGCCTTTTCCCTCGGATATGCGTCAGCCTCCTGTATTATTTTACTTATCTGCACCTTCCTTTTTCTTTCTCTCTCTCTCTCGACTATCTTCGACTATATTTACTTCTTCCAACTTCCGACACGTACACAGAGAAGCCTTGGCATTGCATCGCACGCGAAACCATCGACCTACTTCGCGTAGTCCTATTGCTCGTCGTCTTCCTGCCATTTCTACATTTTTCCGTTACGTTACACCGCCGATAAAACCAGCGGAAATCGTGCGAGATAAAAGTGCGGTGATTCAGAGCATGGATGGGACAATATTTCTAATGGTGAAATTTATTCGTCGATAAACCCACCGCTAAACATTAAAAGATGAATATTCATGTTAATGGACGTTAATAAACAGATATTCAATTATCTTTTTTTCGTCAATTTCCACCAGTAATATATCCGCTTAATTATTAGATTTTGTGACGATCAAAAATAATTAAAGATCATGCAACTTTATTAGTGAAAACTAATATCGTTCTACTTAACCGAAGATTTCAATTATTTTGCCCTTACAGGGCAAGATGGTGCATTTTCGATATAGGTGAGATTATAGTCATGCATAACTTGATTTTCCAGCCATTAGGCGCGTACGTATACCCGCGCTATAAATATTTCTAAATATATATTTCCGATGTCACGGTGTAATTATAAAAGATATCGAACGTCAGTTCCCACAGATTTAGCACTTAATACTTAATTCACGGAACGAGCGGGCGATCTGGGGAAACTACCGACTATAAGTGCGACTATAAATGCTTCGGCCAAGAGCTATTGCTTTGTTTACGTCCATCGCGTAACGTCTATCGCGTAATGTCCATCGCGTAACGTATTTTACTGGCGGCGTTATTCGTCCGTTTCGCAAGTAGATTAAGAGCGAAATTTGCGGCTCTGATATGTCACGCTGAAGCTCTTCAAGTAGACGGGGTAAGAGGAACCTTCTCTCATGACTACCAAGTGAAGAGGAGCACGCCCGCCTCCTCGTCGATGCAACGTAAGAATGATTGCATAATCCGCTTCGCTATCCTCTCATTCTTCCTCTCTCATTCTTCCTCTCGCGCTTTCCCAACTTCATCTTTCACGCTCATCCTTTCCAGATTTCCTCATTAACAATTGCTTACCTAAATGTTGTCATTTTCCTAAACTACAAAACTTTACGAAGGCACAATATTTATTTATACATTTTTATTAGAGGTTTCATATATTATTTCGCTAATTTGTATCATTTGATAAAGCTCTGAAAATAGGTATATTGCTGTTGCTCGAATTTTTTTGTATCTTAAAAATATCATTTCGCGAATCTCTTTTATTTTATAATACCCCCAAATATTGTGAATGCACGTTTTTAAAAAGACTTAAAATAGAATTGACTTCTCCGGGAAACAATTAATCAAAGAATTCTGTATTCGAGTAATGCGGTTTCTCCGTGCTGGATATCTCTCCGCTGGAATGAACATCTTGATGGAAATACTAAGAGAGAGGGTCGAGATTCGCTGAGAGAGACGAATGGGCCGAGAGGCTGGAGCTCTCCTCACGAGACCGACTCTGAATTCGCGTTGATAAAAATTCTGTCAGGTCGATTAACGATCGTACGTGCCAGTTGGAACGTTGCCATTTGTATCGCGGGATCCTACGTTGGGAGTTAGCCCTTTAACGGTATCGTAGCGTCGTTAGATCCTCGCCAGTCCTCGGCTTTCTTCTCGCGTATGAAATACGTGGGAAAGAAGCGAATGCGGAAAAATAAAGGACGTCTGAGTAACGCAAGGGAAATCATACGTGAAATACAATTTGCCTTTCAAAGATTGAAAACCCTTTAAATACTGAATTCTAAACATAGATATAAATTATTAAAAATTTATTTATAATTTATTCTTACCCTTACTCTTAATTTTACCTTTTTATGTAATATTCTTTTTACTAATTTATGAAAATTTTTGTATCGTTGATTTTTCTATATTTAATCCTTAAGTGCACAGCTTTTGCGTATGTGCAAAGCGATTTTTTGATGCTCCGTGTACTCTCCCTTATGAAATTCGAATTGAAAACGCGCGGCTTTGCACATCTGTAAAAGGCTTTCTCTGACCCTTCTTTCCTTTCTGGATGGGAAAGCCCAGAAGGGGAAAATACTCAGAAAAATTTATTTAAGGATTAAATAACTTATTAAATTCTATCATTAATTTCAAGTTGTATCGCTTCTGCGATGCATTTGTCGGAACGCGATAAAAATTAATGTTGCGATCGAATCCATTTATATTTTCGCGAGCATATAACGGCTTGATAATTAATACTTAACGATCATAAAAATAGCCCTAGTGTCATATTGACCATCCAGCAGGCAGTTGTAACTGTTATGACTCTCTCCAAGTACTTTAAGAGGGTTTAAGTACTCATATATGACCCTCTCATTAGTTCAATTGTCACTGCAGATTTCCGCGTAATGATACACATATATATATACATCACAGAAGCGTTTATTAATTATGTAATATCTAACAAGTAGCAGCGTATGGAAACATATTTAACATTACGAAAACATATTTATCGATGCGTTTATTAATTATGTAATATTTAACAAGTAGCAGCGTATGGAAACATATTTAATATTACGAAAACATATTTATCGATATATATTCTTCAAATTATTCGCAAAACGAATTGAGAATAAACGAGGAAAATTGAACGAAAATATAGAAAATTATGAAGACGGTTCTTAATTATTAGATTGATGATTAAATTCTTTCCCTATATACAAATTCTCTTTCGCAAAAAGACGCTAAGTTTCTTGAGAACATGCTTAATATGCCATTAACAATGGAGTCTTCAAGGTATATTTTTCCCGGTAGTTAATACACAATTCCTCTCTTAAAGAACTTTCGAACCCAGACAAAACAGTGAATAATTAATTACCCGTTCTTTTCTTGCTTTCAGGCGATGGAGGCGGCGCAGGCGGAGATGGCGATCCTATTGTCAGCAGTACCAATTCCGAGAAGAAGTCAGGATATGAGACCAATCTGTATCTCTACAGCGTAAGTACAATAAAAGTCTGGCGAATCACATCCTATAAGTTATATTTTTAAATGCACTTATTTTATATTAAAAAATTAAACGCATATGTTTGTGGAAAAGAGAGAATTTCTTACTTTATCGAAAAAGGAATGAGAATGCATAATCTGATTCATTAACTTTTAATGTCTATGTCGTCTTCATTAATCATTTGTTTATCCGCTAGATTCTTCGAAGGGATTATCTACTTCGATGCAAATAATAAAGTCACTCTATAATAATTATCATACTGTATAATTATAAAATGCGCGATTTACAAGCGGAACTTATCTTGTTAAAAATTATTTGTCGTAAAGTTAAGAAGATTAATCTTTTTTTTATTATAAAATTATACTTTTATACAAAAGCTTCAGCTATCGATTGCAGTTTCTTCAATAATGTCTCGCATTTTGAAGCTCTAAGGAAACAGGACGGAATTTTGACCGCTAAGAATCCTTTCTAAATTGCTGTTCTTTCATATAACGAAAGTTAAGCCGCTCACACGGGAGCTAAGCCTGTCCTCCCTTACTCTCTTGTCATTGTCCCTTCTTGCAGTTTTAACGAAGGTCTCTACTACTTTTCTAACTATAAGAAAGCGGCCGAATCTTCCGCGTGGCCCAGTTTCCTTATCTTTCTGATTTCGTTTAAAACTGCGAGCCATTATCGAACTATGAATCTCGCGCGAAGCAAGTATTGTGTCCTATTCTTCCATCGAATCCGATAATTCGTTCCATGGGCGACTTTAACCCTCTCGACACTCTCGTATTTCTCGTTCGACTCGATCGAGCAGCAATTGAAGATAAACCTGAGAGGCGTACAAGTAATAGCGGTAAATTTTTATTGCGCGTGTAAATTTTGTCGAAATAATTCTAGAGAAAAAGAATTATAATATTACCTTTAAAAAAGCGACAAATATAGAGCAAATGCAATTTCAAAGGGCAGTTTAGACACTTATATTTAAATAGCAATTATTATTTTGTTTATTTTACGAACCTAAGAAAGTTTTATCAAAATCAGGGAAAAAGGAAAGAGTAAATTTATGGATTTCATTCGTCAAATCACAGCTTTAACTGAAAATCAATATAACTGTCTATATTATTAAATAGCGGATATGCGAAGATGAAAGAAGAAATTGAAAAAATGCGTCACGTATATATTCTTTTAAAAGGAAAGAAGTGGACTAGAGATAAAAGAAATGCGTTGTAATTTCTTGAAGAATATCGCCGTGTATGTTAAAGGATCTTGTTAGCTCGCGTTCTCCAATTTTTATTACATTTGATATAAAGAGATCTGTTTTCTGTGTGATGTGCAAGCGGATGCCCGATGTGAAAAGTAGTCGTCGCGAAATTAGATCGACAACGTGTAATATCGTCGCAACGAGATTGCAGCACGAACTTACATGACAAAGGACTAACAATTTCCATAAAAGCGTCCCGGCGGACGGAGTTACGCGACACTTTCCCGCAAAAGTTTGTCAATAAAATTGCAAATGAGGTTGTGACGTCCCTTTCGGCATAATAACGAATCTTATACGGAAAATTATGGGATTATAACGGGCGAGGGTCGCGCTGAAGGAATAAGCACGCGAGTGATACGAGTCGATTACTGGTCGGGCGGACCATTAATCTCGGGATTGTTTCGTATTCTGTACGACAGCGAAGTCTATACGCGACCAGATAAAAATAGAAAAAGTGTCTATATGTATATATATATAGCTGGATAAAAGTAAAAAAGTCTGTACGTGATCGTACAGAAGTAGCGAGAGTCTATACGCGATCGGACAGCAACTTGTAAAATATCAAGTCTATATCCTTTAAATTTCAGAAAGTTTATTCGAACTGTCGATTTTACGGGACATAAATCGAAAATTTGCATTATAGTTCTAGCTGCAGAGAAGTTCTTCTTGATAAAAAAAACTTTGCGTTCTTTAAACTATTGCAAGAGAAGAAATGTTCAGAGTGAAAAACGATATTTCACCTTCGAATCCCGTCGGACAGAGAAAAATCAAGATAAATCCTTGCAGGAGGAGATGGAAGACCGGCCGCGGATCTCGACGTTGCTCAACAGCTTGGCCAACTATAGCAACACCATCCCTGCGGCAACCGACCCGGACAAACCAGCTCCGGCCGCGGGGGGTGGAGCGCGAATGGGTACCCTCATAGGTGTCTACTTGCCGTGTATCCAGAATATCTTTGGCGTGATCCTCTTTATCCGGCTGACATGGGTAGTCGGTACGGCCGGTGCCATTCAGGGATTCTTCATCGTGCTTTGCTGCTGTTGCGTGGTGAGTATTCGTATATTCTACCGAATATAACTACATGACCGAAATCTCAAGCATACATCGTGCGTGAAAATGTGAAGATTTAAAAACGTACGATTCTAAGATTATACAAGTCCAAAAATATCTTTACAAACGTCTTTATCTTTAAAAACGAAATCTAGAAATGCGAGAAGAGACAATAAAGGGAACCAAGTGTCAGATTTTTTAGTCTGAGAAATCGACTTTTCTTTAATCAAGATATCGAGTTAGTCTTTCAGTTTAAAACGACCGAAGATGGATAGTTTCTCGCGAATTAAACTTCGAGGAATGTAAACTGGTTGCAAACAGTTATTTTTTGTGCGCGCAGACGATGTTGACGGCGATCAGTATGAGTGCTATCGCTACCAACGGCGTAGTGCCGGCCGGCGGTTCCTACTTTATGATCTCGAGAAGTTTAGGCCCGGAATTCGGCGGCGCAGTGGGTATGTTGTTTTACACTGGTACCACCTTGGCCGCCGCGATGTACATCATCGGTGCCGTCGAGATCGTCCTCGTAAGTATCGACTTGTTAACGATGTTACATTAATAAGACCATCCCCAATTAATTGATCGCGATAATTGACTTATACTTCGAAATAGAAGTTAAAGTATCGCAGTGCATCATAGCCGTTAAGATTAATAATGAAGGATTATCGCGCTGTGATTAATTATGCGACGCTTGTAAAGTATCTGATACGTAAAGGATACGATGTCAATTGTATACGTGAAATATTACGGCAGATTTTAACATAATTCTGTAGAAATTTCTGTAATGGTTCAAAGGGACGTGCTTTTCTCTCTCTCGTTGACTTTACGATATTTCTGCGTAGACTTACATGGCGCCGTCACTCAGCATATTCGGCGACTTTACGAAAGATGCCAACATTATGTACAACAACTTCCGAGTATACGGCACCCTCTTGCTGATGATAATGGGCACGATTGTCTTTGTGGGCGTCAAGTTCGTTAACAAGTTCGCCACCGTCGCACTGGCCTGCGTCATTTTATCCATCATCGCTGTTTACGTGGGGCTCTTCGTAAACGTTAATGGCAACGAGACTCTAAAGTACTAAACTAATTTACGACACTAATTTTCGCATTATGTAGTCATTATATGAATACCGTTGCAATTAATGTTGCGACGATAAATGATTATAATTATCGCGAAAGATAAACTGAAAGAAGATGGAACGCTTTAAAGAATCGAGATTTTGTATTTTAGATTGTGCATACTCGGCAGAAGGCTATTGAAGGACATCAACGTCTTAAACGATTGCAACAAAAATTACGGCGGTGCTTTGCATAATATTTACTGTAACGGTACGAGTTGCGATCAGTATTATCTCAAGAACAATCTTACTATTGTGAACGGTATCCGTGGCTTGGCGAGCGGCGTGTTTCTAGGTGAGATTATAATTATATCATTAAAGAAATAATACCAATGAACAGTATAACTAAGAAATATGGAATACACTCTGTGTTTTCTGTGTAGAGAACATATGGGACAGTTACCAAGAGGAGGGTCAATTAATCACATACGGACACGATCCGAAAGACATGGATGTCCTGTCGGGATCGAGCTTTAACCAGGTCCAAGTCGATCTCACCACGACCTTCACTATTCTCGTTGGTATATTCTTCCCTTCTGTGACGGGTAAGCAAACAGACATTTTTAGCATCGTTATATTCATCTTTTCGTTATGATATCAATCTTATCAATACTTATTAATTTATATTTTAAATAATTTTGCTATAGTTGTACTTTATTTTTTATGTAATTTTATATCCATACTTATTTGAATACTATTTTTAATGAAGTATTTATGTCAATTAAATATAATAATAAGAAATTAACGACTGCTAATGTGCAGGTATTATGGCGGGCTCCAATCGATCCGGTGACTTGGCTGACGCTCAGAAATCCATTCCGATCGGCACGATCTGCGCGATCTTGACGACCTCCACCGTTTATCTATCCAGCGTTCTCCTGTTCGCCGGGACCGTTGACAATCTGCTGCTACGCGACAAATTCGGTCAGAGTATCGGCGGCAAGCTGGTAGTGGCGAATATGGCATGGCCGAATCAGTGGGTGATCCTGATCGGTTCGTTCCTATCCACTTTGGGAGCCGGCCTTCAATCTTTGACAGGAGCGCCGCGGCTGCTGCAGGCGATCGCCAAGGATGGTATCATTCCCTTCCTGACGCCATTTGCTACCAGCTCCAGTCGAGGCGAACCTACTCGTGCTTTGGTGCTCACTGTGTTGATCTGCCAGGGCGGTATCCTACTTGGCAACGTGGACTACCTGGCGCCGTTGCTGTCCATGTTCTTCCTTATGTGCTACGGCTTCGTTAACCTCGCCTGCGCGCTGCAAACCCTACTACGCACGCCAAACTGGCGGCCGCGCTTCAAATACTACCACTGGAGCCTGTCGTTCCTCGGCCTGGCTCTCTGCATCGCTATCATGTTTATGACCAGCTGGTACTACGCATTGCTGGCGATGGGTATGGCCGGCCTCATCTACAAGTATATCGAGTATCGCGGTGCCGAGAAGGAATGGGGCGACGGTATTAGTGGTCTGGCGCTGTCTGCTGCTAGATATTCGCTACTCAGGCTCGAGGAGGGACCACCGCACACGAAGAACTGGCGTCCGCAGATCCTGATCCTCGCCAAACTTACCGATGACTTGGTGCCTAAGTATCGCAAGCTCTTTGCTTTCACCAGTCAGCTCAAGGCCGGCAAGGGTCTCACCATTAGCGTCAGCTGCATCGCCGGTGACTTTACACAGAACTCCGGCGAAGCGTTGGCGGCCAAACAGAGCCTCAAAAAAACTGCGGCGGAAGAGAGAGTGAAGGGCTTCGTTGATGTTCTTGTTGCGAAGAATGTCGTCGAAGGGTTGAGCTCACTGATACAAAACACCGGGCTTGGCGGATTGAAACCGAATACAGTGATACTGGGTTGGCCGTACGGTTGGCGGCAGTCAGAAGAGGAAAGAACCTGGCGAGTCTTCTTGCAGACCGTAAGGAGTGTCGCGGCCGCGAAAATGGCACTGCTGGTTCCCAAAGGCATAAACTTCTTCCCGGACTCTAGCGAGAAGATAATCGGCAATATTGACGTCTGGTGGATCGTGCATGACGGCGGCCTATTGATGCTACTGCCGTTCCTATTGAAGCAACATCGCACCTGGAAGAACTGCAAGATGAGAATCTTCACGGTCGCGCAGATGGAGGATAACTCAATACAGATGAAGAAGGATCTGAAGAAGTTCCTGTACGACCTGAGGATTGAAGCGGAAGTCGAGATTGTCGAAATGGTAATTACATTTTACAATAATCTTAATATAAAGAAAGATTGAATTCTTTATTTCTTTAGAAAATTTCCGTTTTATTTCTTGAAAATGGATAAAATGCGATAAAAATGTTTAACAAAGAAAATGTGCGCAGTTATTTCGATAAATTCATATTCCACGTTTTGGTTTTTTTTTTAATAGACGAACACCGACATCTCCGCATACACATATGAACGCACCTTGATTATGGAACAAAGAAACCAGATGCTGCGCGAGCTACAGTTGAATAAGAAGCAGTCACTAGGAGTGGTAAGTGTTGAATTCTAGATTAGGGGGGGAATTGATTACTGTAACATATACAGGCATATAATGCTATGTAACCACAAATGGTGACGGTGATACTGATCGGTGTGTGTCTGTTTGTTGCGTGCTCCTCACGGATAAAGGTGCAGACATTGGTGGACTTCAACGAGGTACCTGCCGAGGAAAAATTACCTCTGGTTTGTCAGATTACCCTCGGAGTTCCATGTATGCCTTCCTCCCATCATTGCTCCATCATTGCACCGACGATTTTATTGTGTATTCCTCTCCCACGATATCACATAACAATCTCATTCCTATTTCCAATAATATTAAGGTGAAAGAAACTGCCGCGGATCGCAAGTTAATATTTTACAAGTATATATTAAATACTTCTAAGATTACGGCGGAACTTAATTTGAACTAAAAACGTTACGTCAAATATTGAAGGCTCGTAAAAATGTATGATTTCTGAAATAAAATAATAAAGGATATAACAATATTTTGTGAAAATAAATCATAAAATGCTTGAATATTAACAATTCTCTGCTTTGTGAATTTGAATTTCTAACTTTCGAAATTTACGACCAATTTGAGAACAAAAATTTTGGATATTATATTACGTTATTAGCGACCATGTTGGTTTGTTTCTTCCTGTCCATCATGATCTCAGGAACTCCCCGCGTCTCTCAGTTTCGGCTTAATTGGCACGATCGCTTACATAGATAGCATTGATTTGATGATAATAGTGCTTTGATGCTAGATTATTAGTTACCTTTCGACTGACTGTCTCCCGCTGTATAGGATAAAGTTTGCTTATTCGCTCAATCGGTTTATACATGATACAGGTGCAGGCGATTGTAGATCACCATCACAACGTGGATGCCAAAGTGCCGACAAAGGTGAGATTCCAAGAGCCGGGTAATCAGAGTACAAACGTGACCGACGATACGAAGCTGATGCAGGAAACCGATCAATCAAATAATAAAGAACCGGATACTGCCGAGGAGGTAAATGAGAAGGACGAGGCTAAAGAGAACAATGCCGAAGAGACAAAGCTGATCGGTGGCTCACCTAAGGCGGAGAATAGAGAGAATACGGAGAAGGAGGCGAATGAAGCGAAGGAGGCGAAGGAAGCGGAGGCAAGAGAAAACGACGCGGAGGAAAACAAAAGCGAAAGTCCGAAGAGACCCACGATTACACCGTAAGTACATTTTTGTATTTGGATTACACTAGTTACAGTTATCTTTCTTGATTTCGACATTGGTCGTTTATTTTTTAACAAACAATTCTACAACAGCGACGAGGGTGACGTGAGGCGTATGCATACTTCGTTGAAACTGAACGAGGTAATCCGTAAAATGAGCAGCGAGGCTCAGCTAGTTATTCTTAATCTTCCTGGACCGCCACGGGACACGAAGATGGAGCGTGAATCTAACTGTATCCTTTCGATCACTGTAAATACTACGCTATAAAAAAAAAACTGTTTCTTATTACAAAGATACGAATTGTTAGCTATATATAATTTGATAAGTAGATTTCAAATTAATCAATTACAGATATGAGGAGAAATATAGTAGATATGAAAAAAATAAAAGAGACCGTTAAACTTCCTTAACCCTCGAAAATTAGATATGGAATTTCTCGAGGTGCTCACTGAAGGCTTGGAAAGAGTATTGATGGTGCGGGGTAGCGGACGGGAGGTGATCACCATCTACTCGTGAACTGAAGCGACGGGAATTGATGCCGTTGCCTTGCGGAAGCAGAGCTCTAGTTTACTTCTCAGTGACCTAAACGACACTACTCTAAGGAATATACTGCTCTTGTGCCATTGTCTGCGCAGCCACTTGCGTCGCGCGCTCTGAAAGTTGTTAAGGAAAAGAGGATGATGATGACGACGACGACGATCGTTCATATCGGACACGGAAGACGAAGTTTCAGCTGAAGCCGACTTATTATGTGGACCGCGACGTGACCGCTCGTCGTCTGAACGATGAAGCCAAAAGCGATGATGCCAAAGGTTTTCTTTAAATGAATTTCTGAATGTAGAACGTGCGGGTTTATGTGTCAGATATGTACGCGTCAGGGGGTCACATACGGTAGCGCGGGTTGCTCAGATTCAGATTCGACAGCCTGTTAAGCTCGGCCGAGCTCGCCGGACAAAGTACACCGTGCACCTCTCGGAAATTGCCGGTACAAAAAATTGTAGCTCAATGAGACCCGAGTTCCAAGTAAACGTCACTTCGATTCAATTTCTTGCAACTGATAGCTAAAAACGTCTAAAACGAAAGGGAGAGAGAGAGCAAAAGTAAGAATGGCAAAAAAAAGGGGGGAAAAATCAAAATTTGGTCCGAGGCTAAGGTCGAAGCATCTACGAAACCACTGCCAGACTACTTTCTAAATGCTTCGCGTTTAACCAAAGACGCGAGAGGCTCATTTTTCTACATGCATTGTCGTTACTAGGGAAAGAATAAGAGTAGTAAGTACGTATATAATTTTATTGCTTGATATAGGTGAATCTAGAGTAGCCTAGGATAGCGCCGACTTTTATTATGATTATATATATATGTGTGTATTTGATAATAGAAAACGACGACGACGACGAGTGTGTCGAATATTATTGCATTTCCTTCGGGGATTGACTCTGCTCTTTTTTCCAGTCTCGCGCGGGAATCTCTACGTACGTACACACACATACACACATAAGGCTTGTTCGTTTTAGCTGAACTTCTTGCACAGTTTATCTTTCCTCTTTTTCTTTTCACATTGGAGAGAAAAAGCGAAAAGATGAACTGTGCAAGAAGTTCGGCTAAAACAAACAGGCCTATATACACGCGCGGGTGCATAACATATATACAGACACACATTCGTGCGCGTTTGTATCGTCTTTAAGGCCTATCGGTCCAAGATGCCACTACCACTTTTAATCGATAACACCAAGTGAAGTTGAATCGTGACGCGAGGAGTGCAACCCGAAAGACTCAATGCCAAAATGCGCGGCGATCCTTACCGAATCTCATCGAAGAGAAACAAAAAAATATATATATAGCGCTAGCGTATGTAAAGTAATTCTAATTGCATTAAATGTCGTCGTGTGCATGTCACGTTTCGCGCGTAGCCCCGTTTCCGGCCGCGCTTCATTTAGATAGGCCTTCTCTAATATACCTAATTAATCAGCGAGCGCGAAATAATCACGCCGGTAGTCGCTTCTCTCAGTTTCTTCGACATCGTCGACAAATCGACGCGTTTTTATTAAATTATCTCAACGAGACTGTGGTAATTAAATTACATTCTTTGCCGAGAAAGAGGAAAAAAAGATTAATCTGATCAAGATCATTTTCATCTCTAAAAACAGCCGGAACTGATGTTAATTTTTAGAATATCGATCTGACACTAATTTTAGCGCCGACATAAAATCGAGAAATTAATTTTATTTAAATCGCTTTTATTCCTGAAACGATCAAACTTTATTTTAATTTTCTGACTATCAAAGCGACGTTAAAGTCTATTTAGTGTCAAATAATTCGTTTCTTTGAGTTTCCTTTGACGAGCAAAAATCTCGAAAAAACTGAGAAAGAGATGACTGCGAGACTAGCGTTCAATGTAATATTTATCGACTTAATACTACTTAATCAGTGTCCGTGAGTAAGTTATATTGTGCTAAGAATTATGCGGGATTACGCACCACAACTTGTCAAATTTCTGCAGTTGTTGCAACTAGCGAAACAATCGAAATGATGAAATATGTCGTTTGACCGTATATATAGGATGTGTCGAAACTATCACGTATTTTCTCGGTCACAGATATTAAAATCTGATTGTTCCCAAAATCAGAAAATTAAAATAGCTTTAACTCGCTAAATTTGGGCAAATTTAATTTTGAGGATTTATACAGATAACGATTTTCGTTTTCTAATTAACTTTTGGATTCTATCAAATATTACCTAATATATCACTGATAAAAGAATATTTGAAAATTAAAATATTGCAATACACAATAAATTGAATCTCATTGAATTTTCATTGAAAATTTGACGTCATTTGAGAGGAAATAAAAGCATGATAGTTTCAGGTGCATTCTTATATATGTACATATGTATGTACATTCACATTGTTCATTGTAAAGTACATGCACTGTCCTGCAATACCTGTAGCTAGAGAAAAAGAACAATCGTGAAGTCTTTGATTATACCATATGAAAGTGTACCGGATTAAAAAATGGGTGAGCGCGAACGCGATATCGCTGCTGACCCGCTAGTGTAGACAAAAAAGAATATTTACATTAATGGGGGAGAAGAGATTCCTATATATATATATCCCACGCGTTGAATTGTTTCACTTTCAAACTCGTAACACCGACGCGGATTTGAATCGCGTCGGATATCCTGAAGCGTAAAGAAGGAAAGAGGCGTCGTATCAACGTAGAGTATTTCACGATTTGATCCTCGACTTCGCGAAACAATCATCGGAAGCGTAGCGAAATACTCGTCTCAACACCAGTTCGACGGATATATGCAAGCAATATATATTCACATCGATTGGATCACGACAGACGAGTATCGGAAACAGAGCTGGGTACCTATATAAGAGACTCTAAATGTATAGTAAACATATATACATATACATTATTATCTGCCTCTCTCCCATCTATATATATGTATGTATATCTCTCTCTCGTCCACAATGTTTACGACATGTACTTCATAATTTTATTACGTTACTTATCAATTGCATATATTTTATGTGTACTTATCTTACTCGATAGGTATTGGCACTGCATAGTTTATACGAGACATGTTGACATTATGAGAAAGTTTATTGCGAATACAAGTCGGACTGTTGTCGGATAAATCGCTATACACATGTTGTACATAAACACGTAGATAAAAGATAAAGGAGGAAGAAGTAAAAAAAACGATCGCGTGTTTATCGTAAAGGATTTTAAGAAGAATGTAAAGAAGGGAAAGAGGATAAATGATGAAGAAGGAAATTAGAGTGTCCTTTACACAGATCGAACAGTATTGCAGTATTCTGCTGCCGCTTTAATATTTTACTATGTCGTATTTACTTTAAATGCACAATGACCACATGGCACACAAACGTACGCGTACGTGTGATATCTATATATATAGAATGCATATACATATATTTGGCTGGTGAGAATGAAAACGGTGCGAGGCAAAGATTAGAGAAAACTCTGAGGTGGTCTGGCTGCTCCTTGATCCTTCGCTCTCCTTAGTTTAATAATGAAATTTGATAGTATAAAGACAACTAACACCGTTTTCATCCTACTCGGCTAATAGTGTGTGTTATCGGCAGCGGCGGAGATGCGACCGGCGTCTGCGGTTTATGTTCACTTTGCGGAAACAGAATGGTACCTGGAACGCATTCGGGATACTCTATCTCCGTTACCAAGAGTAACTCCTTGTAATTGCATTTGTAGATAGATCGCAAAAGACTGAACAAGCGAGCTGTGGCGAAAAACACAGTGAATCACCGATGCGACCCTTTGTGAATAGATAAAGAAAAAATGCGCACAATACTTTGGCTATAAAGGAGTTCCCACTGCTGCATAATAGAAGATAAGATAGCTATTTCAGGTGGTGAAATAAATGCGAGAGTCGAACCGCGATGCAACTGCTCGTCTTACCCGTTGATCGACAGAGAGTCTGAATGTTGTGGAGATGATTGTTCTGTTTCCGCGGCATATTTCGAGCAATGATATATAAAGCGCGAGAATATTCTTTCCTCCAGAGAATATGCGAAGTTTCATTCGCGAGACATTCTCGTCTTCGTGGAGTATCCTCGAAATATACCTACAGTACTCTCCGAAGAATATTTTCTTCGGAGAGAACTCTGTTCGAATATTCCTGGGACGCTTTTCTCGCGGTATCGGAAAAAGTTTCTTTGAGAATTATTTTTGTCGCGAATCCTCGAACGTAAATTTCGGGCGACGGAAGTGCAACTCCGGCTGTTAATGAGTTGGCATTTGTCGAGGTATAGTGCGGCGTTTTGCGGCGCGTTCCATTTAAAATGGGGCCGCGCTCTGGATTTAAATCACCTCTAGGCTGTGAGATGCGAGTTAAGCAGCGGACATACTTGCTCGAAACCTCAATCATATGTGTCAAATCAAGTATAAATCTACTTTTAACGTATATCGTATAACCGATTATAAAAAGAAAGAAAGAAAAAAAGAAATCTTTTACCAAAGCTCCTGACGGGAGGTATACACACGACTTACTTCTCACTCAAGAAACTGCGAATTCTGCCCTTGGGACTCGAATAAAGAAAATATATTTATTGACTCCCACACGGGAAAGAGAAAAGAAAAAAAAATGAGATATTGATATAGAGAAATAAAGATGTTATTAAATATACATACAGAGCGGACCTGAGGCGAGAAAATGGGAGTCGCACGGAGAGCGTCCTCGAATTTGAGATAATTTTTCCCTTGACATTCTTTCACATTAAGTATTTTACTTTAGATTTGCATAAACGAGTAAAACTTTGTCGCTTGTATTTTTAACATGTAATTTATCGAACGTACTTATTATGTTAGTCTCAGTTTTGAATACCTGTGTACTTATGCGGTTGAAGTATTCGTTAAGGAAAATTTAATCCTAAATTCATCGACGCGTCCCTGCTAGATCCCGCCTTTTCTGGTCCATATTATATATATTATATATATATGTATACTATATGTATACAAGGTGTCTGCAAAGCTTTCTCTTGACAATAGATACTGCAACAGGCGAAATTGAAGAAGTGCGTTTCAGAGAGATAAACGGGAGGTAATCTTGCCGACAAGAACATGCGATTTTGAAGTATTAAAATGGTCTCACACGCGTACATTGTATCGATCATATAATTGTATATATTATTTCGCAGGACGAACGAAACTCGATGTACGTCATTCCGTACAGGCTCATCCACGAATTATCATGCGCTTAAGTTTGTTTTTTAATTAACGTTACTTGAATTTACGGCGTCGCGAAACGCCGCTCGTAACTGTCGTTAGGAGGAAGTGAAATACGGTTGCGAGACACCCTGTACACACATACGAGATACGAGATAACATATTTGTAGATACAGATTTTAGTCACATCTGGATAGTATATAGAGTCAATACTGTGAAAAAAGCCTGTAACTTACCTACCTATACCCTTTAGATAATAGATGATGACACTTGTAATTGATTTTCGAAAGATAAAGTATATGAATGAACAAATATACTGCGAGAGAGTCGATTAAATAAATAAATAATATACTTATGACCAAAACGTATCGATTTATATCATCGTCATTCTTCGAATCGTAGTTTACTTTCTTATTATATAAAAAAATTGTTATATTGTTACCTCTGTTATTATCAAGCTATTTTTATATATTTCTATACACGATTATTATTTCACTTATATTCTGTTATTTTATCGCAGTATAATAATTCAATTTTTCTTTTAAAATACAAAAGTATATATGTTAGACGCACGTAAATAGAGTTATAAAGATATCGTTT